GTCCTTGGTTTTTTATTGCTACACAAAAACACATATATATATCCCATAATTTCTGCTTTGGAAAAATGGGGTAGTCTTAAAATTTCTTACCCTTGCCTGCTTTTGTGAATATTTATAATTCGAGCAATTTGGTTGAGCTGTACGAATTGTTGGTGGGGAAGGCTACTGAGCTGTAAGTCTCTTTCCATTTTATTAATTCAGTTTGTTTGTTTTTCTGAAACTTTTGTTTGTGTTGTTGGTTTGGCTGGAAAGGGAGGGGAGGGATTGGAAAGAGGGTTGTCATGTTGTGCAGCCTACAGGAGGTCCATATCACAGTCTGGATTTTCTCAAATTTGGCTTCTTGTTTGGATCTGGTGTCTGAGACTCTAATCACTGAAAAATCTTCAAGTTCATTTCGGGGTATTCTATACTTGAAGTTTTCAATTGTTTGATCTTAAGTTAAGGATATAACAATTAAGATTTAACGGTTAAAAGCTCTGAAATATAGAATACTCCAAAGCACCATAGAAATTTTAACATTGTTTTCCTTAGTAACTTCATGTGCTTTAACTCCTATATTTCTAGGTAATTCGTGGTGAGTTTAGAAATTTTCTCTTCCATGGCAAGATGTCGCAAGCTATTTTGGCTTGTCTTTTTAAACATTTTGTCAAATATCTTGCTCTCGTAACCTTCATGCTTAAGAAAAACATCAAATGAACATTGGATAATAATTTCATGTGTAGCAACTGTAGGGTGGGAGGATTGCATACCCTGAACCCTAAGTGGATCCATCATAGTAATAGGTATCTACGAACTTCAAAAATAAGGTAATCACATTGTTACACACGGGTTTACGAACTTATTGTGTATTTTTCTCTCATCACGTGACTTGTACACCAAAGTTTTACTCCTTGGCCTGTTGCTTAAATTGCTGCTAGGTATTGGGCCAAGGGTAGTCAAAGTGGTACCATAAAAGCCAGATCATACATGGCATGTATGCTTGGGAGGACTGAAATGAAGAAAATATGTGTGTGGGCAGGGTGGGGCGGGGGGACCATCCATTTTGGTAGGGAGGAATAACCTTGCAGTCCTGCACTTGATTCATGACCAGTGAAAACTGACTGCTGATGGAGGACCGTGAGCAAAGAATCTATTGCACATTTTGAGCCATTTTTCTTCTTTTTTTTTTCTTTCCCTTCCTCATAAATCAATATATATGCATCATATCTTGAAAAGCATCTGACATGTTATGTTACTGGACAGAAAATTAAAAGCGATCTCTGTATGAACTTATTATCCTGTAACATTATGCAAAGATTTCAGTACTGACTTGTAAAATTACAATAAATTATTTAATAATAAAATATATAAGATACTACTTTGTATCAAAGAAAAGAACTTGCATGGAATAATAGAAATAAAAAAATTATGATAGAGTCTGAATATGTACTTCTAGTAGTTGATTTTACATGCAAAAGTAATACTAAATTGTCATGCCCTTAGTTCTCAAAAAAAAGAAAAACAAAAAAAAAATCTCGTGCCTTTATGCATTAAAGTTGGTTTTGTGAAATTTGTCATGTTTATTGTGAATTTTTTTTTGTTGCTAATGATTTGACTTGTTTGGATTTGTCATGTAGTTTGAGTCGAGTCTTTTTTGAGCAAGCTACTCCTTCTTGTCGGCGGTTGTTAATTGCAGGTATAGTTGAGTCTCGTGATATTCTTATGTAATATTTCTTTTTCTTTCAAACTTATGCCCCGTTATCAACCAAAACAAGTAGTAGAACTTGTTTAGGGGCATTCAAAGTCCAACATGTCATGCCTAGCAAAGCTCTCCTAACAATATGGGATCTTTGTTCTCATATATTTTAGTTTGATCCGATTCACGTTAGTTTCACTCAGTGTGAAAACTGCTCAGCACATCTTTAAAGTTGACACGATGCAACTTTGACAAACCCCTCTTGGTACGTTTAAGATCCAATTGTTACGTTACTCGATTAGACCTTGCTTTTTCCCATGTGAAACTACAACACAGCAAACAACAAACAACAATTCTTCGGCGCCGCAAAGGTTTGTGAGTCCGCAATCACAATGTCAATGTGAACCAGCCACGGTCTTGATGTGGAGTTTTTGGAGAAAGAAATGTCGTTTCAATTTTATCTCTAATTGGAGAAATACATAATTTTATCTTATTATTTTCAGCATGTTTCACAAGTTATGTATAAGAGTTTGAATCTGGCCCAAAAATAGGATAGGGGTCAAGATGCAGTCGGGTGCCCGCCGCTGATTCAACTGTCCTCCGAATTGTGCGAAATGGCTGCTTAAAGATTATGGATATCCTGACGGTGGTGCAAGTAATTAATTTTCTCCTAAACACACATGAATAATCATGAGTAATCATTTCATGATGAATTCAAAACTTACCACACGAGTAATCATTTCATGATTAATTCATATATTATTGGGATGAGTTAGATTTTACTGCACTCATTATGTTACTTATTGCACTCATTATGTCGTTTTATCAACACTGGGTGAAGCCCACATACTCTATTTGTGTAAATATAAAAGATTTAAAAATAAGAAAAATATGAAAGAGAAAGAAATTGGAGAGAAATGTGAGAGAGAGGGGAAAGTAGAAGGGGACAATTTTACTTTTAGGGAAATTTTATTTAAATCTATCTAACATTTTTTTACATCTAATTTAAATTTTAAATATTAATTGTTTATTTTACCTTATTGCATAATAACTATTAAGTACAAAATATATTAATAATTAAAATCAAATTTATCAATAGACCTGTTAGATCCTACATCGCTCATGGGAGTGGATCATCTGTGCCTTAAATGTACTTGCCCACCTCCATATAGCACGAGGCCTTTTGGGAGCTCACTGGTTTCGGATTCCGTATGAACTCTGAAGTTAAGGGAGAAAGGGGTCGTAGCATCCTAGGATGAGTGACCCACTGAGAAGATTTCTTGTGAGTTCTCAGAAACAAAACCATGAGGGCGTGGTCAGGGCCCAAAGTGGACAATATCGTGCTATGGTGGAGTCGAGATCGGGATGTAACAATTTGGTATCAGAGTCAATCTTTGGTCGAAAGTGTGCTGACGAGGACGTCGGGCCCCTAAGGGAGGTGAATTGTTAGATCCCACACCGCCCAAGGGAATGGATCTTCTATACCTTAAATGTACATGCATACCTCCATATAGCACGAGGCTTTTTGGGAGCTCACTAGTTTCAGGTTTCGTAAGAACTCTGAAATTAAGCGAGAAAAGGGCCAAAGCAACCCACGATGGGGGACCCACTGGAAAGTTTTCGTGTGAGTTCCCAGAAACAAAACTGTGTGGGCGTGGTCAGAGCCCAAAGCGAATAATATCGTGTTACGGTGGAGTCGAGCCTGAGATGTGGTGGGAGCCCGGGTTGGGATGTGACATGACCCACATACTACTAAACCCTAGCATCACTCTTTGTTTATCATTCGTTCATTTCGACTAAAACCCTAATAGCTTTGATAGAGAAAAACAAACTTTTCTATCGATTGATGGTGATTTTAAAGTTTTTAATTCTCCAACTAAAGTATGACTCAATTTATGAATATTTTGTTTGTTTGTTTGTTTCTTCTTTGGAGTAAATTTCATACTTTTTATATTATATTGTATTTGTTTCTCTATGTCATCTGTATGCGCCCCAAAACACTAGTGCGATGACTTTTGATTAGTACTGCAAAGACATAAAACTTGATTCTTGGTGCAAATAAAGATTGATCAACCTTAACCACAAACTAGTGAGTGGCATCTCTTGCACATTTTTTATTCGAAATAGCTCGAATTTGTTTATTTGTTTATTAACATAGCATCAAAACAACTAGCCCTATGTTACTTCAAAGTTTCTTACAAAGTACATGAAAATGCTCGATTTAAAAAGGGTTGAACTGGAGCTTGCATAACATTCTCTTGGCAAATTCAAGTCTATGAAATGATCTCTTGGATCCTAAGTCCATGGATGGGTTGTGGTAGCAGAAAGAAAAAAAAGGGGCCATGGAAATGCTAGTCCTATACTACAAATGCAATTATAGGGGGCAAAGGACACATCTTTGAAGAAAAAAAACATTCAATTAGGGATATTATTTTATAAAGAGAATGTGTGTAAAGATAATTTTATATTTTGAATTGGGTCTAAGAGGGTAGTTTAGATAATAAATTTGGGTTTAAAGAGATATTAATTCTTTAATAAAAAACAATATGGGTGAAGAGAGTAAGATGAGTGTAGAAAGAAGTTAGATAAGTTGAAATAAAATTTCCCTTACTTTTATTTTTATTTTGAAATTAGAGATTTTTTTATGATGGGTGGGAGAAAATAAAAAATAATTTTTGTACAAAATTACTTTAATATTTATAATTTTTTATTTGTTTTTTTTTAATTATGCATGCAATGGTATAATAGTATTTTCATTAATTTTTTATTAATAAAAAGTGTTCTATTAATTTTTTTGACAAACGTATTGGTAGTTAAAGACTCGTTTAAAAGTACTTTTAAAATGATTAAAAAATTTTTAGAGAACTTTTTGAGTTCCAAAAAGCACTTTACAAGAAGTACTTGAAGTGTTTTTTTTTTGCAAGAAACACCAGTTATATGTTTTTTTTCAGAAAACACTTTAAGTGTTTTTTTTAAGAATTTATTTGTGTTTTTACTAAAGATTGATTGTAAAAATATTTTAACCAGATGTACTTTTAGTTATTTTAAAAGTACATCTAAACGCACTCTAAATTATTAATCAGTCCATAACGTGCTTGAATTAATCCGTCTCTGCATTTATAATCATACATAATTTCAATATGAATTTGTTCTAATTTCTAAATAATAAATATTGATAATACATGATTTGGACAAAGCTTTTGCCAAAAAGTGACCCCTCTAATCAAATTAGTTCATAAAAAAAAAGGTAAAAAAAAATAAGAAACCCAAAGGCTCTTGCTCTATATCGCCACTTCCCGGGCTAGATCGGAGCTCAAAGCTCAAAGCTAAGATTTTTATACATGCCCGTGGCAGCTAGGGCTTTGTTCAGCGACTCTAACCGTGCGCGGGCTCCGGGTTGGTCCGAGTTCAGCAATGTACAGTGGGTCCAGCGACGGCGAAGGCCATGAGGCCGCGCAGAGGAAGATCCCTCCCGCCTCCTCCATGCTCTGGGTCCGCAATCTCCGCCGCTTCATCGGATCCGGCGCCGGACTCGGATCCGAAGCCCTCATGGGTATTTTCCCTCGCACTTCTCTCTCATTTCCATGCTAATCCTTCCAAGTGTCGAATTTTAAATTTTGGAATTAGGGTTTAGATTAGAACCATGTGTTACACGTTTGGGATTTTGGGTGCAGTCAGTAATTCTATGTTTTCCCTCTTTGTTTTAGGAATCATCAACTGTTATTAAGCTGTTTTCGTAGTGATTAGAACTTCCTTAAGAACTAATGAATCAAGTGATAGCGAGATAAGCTCATCGAAACAGAAAAAAGATGAAGGAAAAGATCTCTTAAAGTTTCCATTTTTTGAAGTTTGAGGGCTTGTGTCAATCTATCACAATTGTTCGAATGGTTGTATTTAGGTATGCATTATACATTCAACTGAGCCCATGATTCATGGGTGCCAGCGAATTTCGAAGAGTTCGGCTTGGGTTTCTCTGTTTGGTCTGTAATATGTGAGGCCCCTGGTCATTGACTACTTGAGCCCCTTCCCCAAGTTTTTAGTAGATAATGTGTCGGTGTAATTTGCTTTTATGAGCACATCTGTGAGTGTGCACGCTCGAGATAGAAACCAAGTTTTTAGTTTCTACCTTGCCAGTTGCTATTTAAATTGCTGAAACATGCACTGATGAAACTGAGGTGGATTTAGTTCATACATATCTGTCTCCATGCCGATATTCTCTGCCTGAGATTTAATCAAGTGTTTTATATTATTTTATTCTGTGTAGAGCTTGAAACAAAAAGAATCTTGCTTGATATTTTCAAAGAGAAGCAACAAAAAAGTGCTGAAGCTGGCACAATCCCAAGTTTCTACAAGAAGGCATGTAGTAGGGTTTTTGTTGTATTTCAATGATTCTGTTCGTCTTTGGGAATCTGAGGAGGAAGGCATTAATTTGTGATGGAAAATTCATAATCTTTAATATATATTTGTTTTGACCCTTCTGGTGTGCTCTTTCCTTGGTCCGTTTTGACTTTGCGCTGTCTTTCCATTTTTTCAGAAACCTGAAGAAGGATCTATTAGTCAGAGGGTCCAGAGGCTGGCAAAATATCGTTTTTTAAAGGTAATCATCTGGATTTTCATTCCTGATGATTACTGTTTTATTAAGTTACCTAAGCATCTGACTTTATTGGTGGCATTTACCTTTGTTTTTGCAGAAGCAATCAGATCTTTTGCTAAATGCGGATGATCTAGATGCTATGTGGGTTTGCTTAAGGGAAAATTGTGTGATTGATGATGCAACTGGTGCAGAAAAGGTCTGTGGTAACTGAGACATTTTAATCTGCTTTACACCTTTGCCATATGTTATAAATATCTCTTATGGGTTTCACACTAACATTTTGATGTTGTATCAAAATCTTTCAAGAATAGTATTACGGCATCTCATCTACTTCCGTTACATTATTATCTGCACTTCAATTTATGGCTTTGAATAATTATAAATTTTTTATTGCGTAGTTAGGTATCTGACTAATGCTAATAAGTTCCCTGATTTATCATCGTGTAGATGAACTATGAAGACTTTTGCCACATTGCCTCTGTATGTACGGAGCAGATAGGGCCTAAATGTCGTCGCTTTTTCAGCCCTTCAAATTTCATGAAATTTGAGAAAGATGAACAAGGAAGAATTGCCATTCTGCCCTTTTACCTTTATGTGATGAGAACGGTGGGTATAATTGATAATTAATTCCACCAAGCTTTTTCTTGCATCCTTTTGAAGAATTGAAATTATGCATTATATGACTACTGAATTGCAAAAGTCTGGAATGCTACTTACGAATTGTTGCCTCCAGGTTTCACTTACTCAAGCTAGAATTGACATGAGTGAACTTGACGAGGATTCTGATGGTTTTCTTCAGCCTCATGTATGAATTTTTTGCAAAATTTCAGCATCTAAGTGTTACATAACTTATATTTGAATCTTGAGACTCGTACTTTAGCTACCTCATTTTTCTGTATGATATTTGATAGATCAATGATGCACTATCTTTTTCCATCTTTTCTTATAATTGTAATGATTTTGTTCTTTCTTCAGGAAATGGAGGCCTATATACGAGGCCTTATACCTAATCTAGCACAATTACGGGACATGCCTTCAGGCTTTGTTAATATGTATTGCCGCATAGCTGCACAGAAGTTCTTCTTTTTTTGTGACCCTCATAGACGAGGTATGCCAAAGTTGCAAAATATAAAATGCAAGCCTCTCCACTCATTGCCAATTGGTTTTGGGTGATGCTTTAACTTTAGAAAAAACCAGATTTAAAATTCTTTATTTAATTGTTGAAAAAAATTAAATTAAATTTTTTCACACAGGAAAAGCCTGCATAAAGAAGGTGTTATTGAGTAATTGTCTCCAGGAACTAATGGAACTGCACCAGGTAGGCTGTGAAAGAATTTATGAAAAACTTGCTATGTTATAAATTGCATCATCTTTATTAGGTATATATTCTCCAAAGTAATTAATTATGTCAATAAAACATCCAGTAAATTCCGATCTTCTGCTAACTATATGTCCTGAATTTTATTCCATATTAGGAAACTGAGGAAGAAGTCACTGACAATGAGCAAGCTGAAAACTGGTTCTCTTTGACATCCGCCCAGCGCATATGCGGTGGGTACTTTTCACATCTAAACTTTCATTCCATGTCTCCGGGTTCCATTGTCATTCCTTTTTTGTTATGGGTTGTCTTCTACATGTGGCATATTTGTGCTGCTGTTAAACTGTATTATGAGTTAAACCGTATTATGAGGATTCCATTCTAGAGTGAGGTGATTATCTGCAGTCTTGGCTTTGGCTTGATTGCCATTACCTTGTCTTGATTTCGCTTAACATTCTTGAGTCTAGAAGACAATTAAGTCCTAGGATCAGTATGTAATCTGTATCTCAATCTCAAGATAAATGCAATGATTATATTTGAAAGCTTTAACTCTACTGTAATTCTGTTGCTGATTGCAACCGCGTGCTTTCTGTAGACATGTTCATTGCTCTTGATAAAGATTCGAGTGGATCATTGAGCAAGCAGGAACTTCGAGAATATGCAGATGGGACATTGACTGAAATTATCATTGAAAGAGGTATGCCTAGAAAATTTGAATCCATTGTTTGTACTGTGTACATTCATTTACTTAAAAATGCTAAGAAATCTGTGTGGAATTCTATTTCTGAGGATTCCCCATCTGATATGTTATCATACAGTTTGTATTTTCCTTTTTAGACTCGTTTATTCATGCTTTGCATTTGATATGCCCTCAACAGTGTTTGATGAGCACGTTCGGCGTGGAAAAAGTGGCGGAAGTTCTAGGGAAATGGACTTCGATAGTTTTCTGGATTTTGTCCTGGCCTTAGAGAACAAAGACACTCCAGAGGGGTTAACATATTTATTTCGATGTCTTGATCTTCAGGGAAGGGGTTACCTTACAACAGCTGATATACACTCTCTTTTCAGGTAAATATCCTTCTGTTTATGACTTGTTTGTGGGAGACTTATCAGAAACCCAAAAGAAAACAAAAACTTTACTTGGTGGTAGAACTTCTGTTGTCAAAATTTGTTCTGTTCTTTGCTTGGCTGCTCGTGCAAAACTGCGAGTATTGCTTTTTAGCAATGTTCTGTAACACCAAGCAGAGCCAAATATGGAATGGAAGTAAAGAAGAGGAGCATCCGAAAGCTGGGATGTTACCTGATACAAACTTCCTACAGAAAAACCTCTCTGGTATTTTCCTGCTGGCAGTACTTGAGCAATATATCTGCAAGTCTCAGATTATCAGAGACATGAACATCACTAATGAACTCAACAAACTATAAGATTCCATTGTCCTTTGCCTCAGCACTGATTCCTTACTATGTTGTGTCAGTCAAAATATCTTATTTTGTGGTTTTATGAAACAGGGATGTACATCAGAAATGGATTGAGGGCGGAAACTACGAATTGTGTATTGAGGATGTAAGGGACGAAATCTGGGACATGGTTAAACCAGCTGATCCACTGCGGATTACCTTGGCTGATTTACTAGCTTGCAAACAAGGCGGCACTGTTGCCAGCATGCTCATTGATGTGCGCGGTTTCTGGGCGCATGACAATAGAGAAAATCTGCTCCAAGAAGAAGAGGAACCAGAAGAAGAATCGTAAATACACTCCGAGGACTCAAAAGTTTGCCCCCGGGCTTTACTAACAAATTTAGAGGTTTTTTCGTTCTTTTGTTTTGTTTATTTATTTATTTTTTTCCTTTTTTTTTCGAGTTTTATGTTAACGAAATGATTGCTTTGAATTGTGTAAGTCAATGTGGGATGTAAAATAACAAGTATAGCAAATTGTTGATTGGAATGCTCGGACTAAATGTGAGATCATAGATGCAAGTACAATATAAATTTTGTTTGACTTTAAAGCCTGAGGGTACATTCGGTATTTCGTTGCTTGCCATGGTGCAAGTAATAAAAATGTCATGTTACCAAGTGTCGAGAGCTGACCTAATTGCCAAAAAAAGAGCAAGATTTTTATGTGTTTTTTTTTTTTTTTTTCTTTTAAAGGAGAACAACTGGTAGCAAGTGTTATCTGTCATTTTCGGATCCGGAGAGGTTATGAGGAATTTCATCTTATCCGTGGTCGCAGTCAAGCAAATTCACCAGTTCGGAGCATTGAACTTGAAACTTTTTATATTTTTTTGTTTATTAGGGAGCTGGAGTCCGCGATCCTACCATTGAGTCATTTGCTGTGATTCAAGAATTTGAATGTTGGGTTCTTGAAAAGTATTTTGAATTTTGGAGAAACAAGATATGATTAAAAATATTTCTCAATCAAGATAATCACTAAATAGACGAGTAACACTCATGGAACGAATGCAACCTAGCGTAATATTTAATGTAAAAAATAAACGCTAAATTTGGGGTTATACTATTGGCAAGTCACTTACAGACGAGTGTTCACATGTATGTAACATTTTGGCACGGTGCTTGTAGAGAGCGGGTTCCGGCTTTCGTTCACAGAGACCGACGCCAATTGGTCCATAAATCTCAGCATCGGAAGCAAAATCTTTCCAATTTCACTCACTTTCACTCCCAGAAATGGAGGTCCCCAAGGATCAAATCGCCACTCTCATGGAGCACGGTCTCTACAACTCAGCTCAGATGCTCGTAATCTCTCTTCTCCCTCCTCCAATTTCAAATTTTGTTTGCAGTTTCATAACTTTCCGCCGACTGAAATGACTGTTTATATGTGGGATTAGGGTTGTTTTCTTGTTTCGTCACCGGCCGCCAATGCCGAAATCAATCCGCACCTTAAAGCTGAAAGCTTGGTCAGAATCTTCAACTCCATGAGTTCACTTACTCTCTCTCTCTCTTTAATTTCTTGTTAATTAAATTGTTAATTATTGCTTGCAGGTGCTTCTTGGCGATTCGTTGTATCGCGAAAGAGAGTTTCGCAGAGCAATTGTAAGAAAAATCACACATTTTCCAGTAATTTCGTATTGTAATGTACAAAGTAGTGATCTTGCACAAATGTAGTGGACTTAACACTCTTAGTGATTGCAACAAAATTGGAAGGAATGTGTAATTTTTTACTGAGTGAGCTTACCCTTAGGTGAAAATGCCCATTCGATACTTTCTTGTGTTAAAAATCGTATCTACCTACTTCGGATTTCTTTACTGTACGATTATTATGCTGTCATTTTATTGATTTTCGCATGCTTCTTTATATTTTTTTCTTTTTCGTTGACAGCATATGTACAAGCAAGCATTGCAGCTTTGCAAGATGATTTCCAAGACAAATGCACCATCTACTAGAAGCTCATTGTCATCAACTAGGTCGTCTTCTCCAAATTTGTTTAACATTTCAGGAATTAATGAGAATGAGGTAGGCCTCTTTCACTTTTCAAGTACTTATTTCTGTTTCAGCTTATACCAAAGCATAATAGTGGTTCTTTTTTGTTTGGTGCTATTCTACATGATAGGTGAAGTTCAAAATCGCATCCAGTTACTTTGCGCTCGGTGAGAATGGAACAGCCCTTTCTGAGGTACAGACTTACATGCTCTAATGCTTATGGGCTGGGAAAATTTTCATATTATCTGTGTTAATATTAGGGTAATGCTAGGGAGACCAAAATTTTAAACCAAATTTGCAAACCAAATGATGTGTCACCAATAGCAAATAAGCACGTTAATCAACGCTTAAGTAATAATTTAATCATTAACAACCACATCATTTGGTTTAAAAAATTTGGTCTCCCTAGCATTATGCTGAATATTAACGTCTGAGTATAAACATCCTGACAAGTCTGTTAATTTTGTTGGTTTTACTTGCTTCCTTATCTTTTTTTTAATCTTTTTTTCTATCTATTTCTCCTGTAGCCCTATATATATTGTTAAGTTGTGAGCATAGTTTCACTTCGGCTGGGTACGTTGGGAATATGTACTATATAGGCACAGGGCACCCTTTCTTTGCAAGCTGCTTTTGCAAGAAGAAAATCTACCCATGGGTTTCTCATCAATATCAATATGCACTTATATTTCTTGTGTCACTTTTGGAATATTCTTACTGGGGTCTAATGCACCTTTAAACTTTACAGATGGACAACATTCCAAGCAAATCCAGAAACTTGCCAATGAATCTGTTGATGGGAAAGCTTTATCGGTTTTCTAGACAGAATCGTTCTGCCAGTTTCTTGTTTCAAAGAATGTCTAAGGTTTGTCAATCAAATTGTGATTCTCATGTTTCAGTTTGTATTTTTATGTATGCAGATATTTTGAGTCTTATACTTCTTTGGTTAATAAAATTTTGTGATCATTATGCTGCACTAATACTCTGAATCTCAAGAATTAGGAGTTCTTTGTTTCTCTGGAGTCAGCAATATCATGTTCTGGTGGACATTCATTTTTTAAGACTTGGATACTGTAGTTGAAGTAATTAAAGGGTGGAAAGGTTGGAGTCAAAGGTCAAGGCTGTGATCAATTGCAAGATTATAGGTGTTTTGTTTTGCAGACCCTTTAGATCCCTCGTTCTACGCTTTCCTTTCCTGGTAGCTCCTGTATTATTAAAGAAGGTTGCACCATAAATTACTTTAGAAAAAGTCGATGACCAAGACATTCCTATGGATATAAAAGCCTTTGGATTTCCTTCTTCTGCTCCCCTTAAGTTTAATTGGGCCATATTGCATCCATCTCCACTTGTCTTTATTCTCATGGAGATTATTCTCTGTGAATTCCTTTCCTGTTGCAATGTTTTTAAATGTGTTAATCCTTTCTGGTCTGCTAGCAATCTTTACTTCATCTTGCTATATTCAGGCAGCTTCATTTTTTGCGCTTTTGACAGGCATTGCCCTTATGTCATGGAGGCTATTGTTGCTTTAGCAGAATTAGGAGTTGCTGCCAAAGACATTATTTCCTTGATTCCTCAGGTTTGTCCTGTAAAGTTTTTTCATAGTGAAGCTGTCTTTATCTTATGCTGTTTGTAGAAAAACAAAGTTAGAGGGGCCATATGAGACATGGCTCATGTGGCTATTGTTATCTGATTACCTATGGAGTGAAGCTTTATAATTAGATGTCCATCCCAATGTTTCTTCAATTTAGCTTCTTGACTCTCAATTTCAGACTCCAAACAGAAGCGGGAGGGCTCCATTTGATCATTTTGACTCAAGTCGTTGGCTGCATGTAAGTAACAATGGGGAAAGCAGAGGTCGTTTATCATTAGCTATCATTTGGTCTATATTTATATATTTATGCTATATGTGTATATGGCTTCATATCCACATTGAACCGTGGCACTCATTGTGACAAATATTGTAAGGTTGTTTGGACAGACTTATATGTCAAGAAGAGAGTAGTTACTTTAGCACCTAGTGATGAAGATTTTGTTAGTCAGCCTATGTAGTTGATTTGTCATGCAATAGAAAGAATACACGTGCATTTTGCAATTTAGCTTGCACAATTTTGTTCTTTCACAACTGAGCAATTCTAGGGATAGGATCTACATAATGGAAAGAGGATTGAAGGGAGGAAAGCCCACTTATTCCAACAAAGTTGTTACATTTGTTTTTCTCTGTGCAGCGCTACGTTGAGGCTCAGTGTTGCGTTGCTTTAAATGATTATAGAGGTAATGGGAATATTTTCTTCTGTACTCTTTGGCCTCATTTGATAGAGAGGATTGGCTTGGATAGGACTGTTCACTATATTAAAGGGATTTTATAAGAAGAAATGAATGACAAATTCCTTATTTTGTCCAGGTTGAAGGTTACTCATGAAGAATTGTTGTCCCTTTTAATCCTACCATTTTTGTGGGGATTAGTAGGAATATTTTTTCTTCATGAGTAGCCTTCAACTTGGACAAAATAAGGAATATGTCATCCATTTCTTCCTTTAAAATGTCTTCAGTATAGTGAGTAGTCCAACCCAAGCCAATCCTCTCTATCAACGAGGCCTTTGGGTTTTTGTCTTTATGTGTGTTTGTGGAAACTTGAGAACATATTTAAAAAGTATTCTGTCATGATAAGGCTTGCTTCATCGTCAACACTGCATGCATTAGAGGTCTTTTCTATATACTGATTTAGTACGTGGCCTATATGCGGTCACACTTCAGTTTTGTAAAATTTCTACAACTAATAGATGGTCATCATATTGTTCTGTCAACAACTCAGTGATTGTATAAAATTTCTGTGCAAAAGCCCAGTTTCTTTCAGGCAAGGAAGTAAAGGGGAACTTTGCATGGATAAAGATGGGGATTATTACAGTTAAAATCTTGGTGGTATATAGATTTGCTGTATTACTTCTAGAATCTATTGGATGATGCCCTATAAGGAAGTAGAAAGTTGTTTGAAATAGATATTTGTGGCAGTTCTCATTGATTTTATTTCATAACTATTCTCGATCCTAGATGTAGTTTCATTATGCTATTAGTTTGAAATTCTGCTTGCATTGACAGTCTATGTATTTAACTTTGGCATTGCAGGTGGTCTGGAACTCTTTACGGATCTTGTACAACGTTTTCCTAATAATTTACACCTGTTACTTGAAGTTGCAAAGGTTAGAACTAATTGTTTGCGAGGTTATTGCGCTTTTTTTGCTATGATAATAATGGTATAATGTTGTCTACCGATTTTACTTGATAATAAGCAAATATATGCGTGCACTGATTGCTGAATGAAACTATGCTTATGATGGGAGGAGTAGGTTTCTGACCACTAAATCTCATCTATATGTACCACAAGTATGTAGGTTGCTTGTTTGCTTCTTTTAAGTTTCTCATTCCTACTAGATCTTTGCAGTTGCTCTCTATTAGGTATAATTTGACAAAGAATGAATGGCACTAATACCAACCACCAAAATGCTCACCTCACTACTCAAAGATAAAAGATGATTACAGTTTCATCCCTCTATAAAATTATCTATGAAAATCTTGCTGCTAATTTTTGACGTGTTATCGGCATAAGTTACTTACAGAATTGTAATTAACCAAGTATTTGTTTTTATTTTTCCCAAATACAGTCTTTTGGCCTTATTAAGAAATACCACAAATTTACGCTGAATGAATGCAAAGAGTGCTTTCATTCTGATTACTTGGGTTAAATTTCTATTAACAGACTTAAATGTTGCCCTATGATGTTTCTAACAAGGTTTTGATTTCTGCTTTTGTACATGTAAAAACTTGCATGGGAAGGTTGAAGCTATTATTGGGAAAAACGATGAGGCTATATTGAATTTTGAAAAGGTAATTTCTTGTCATGATGGTGATGCATGTGTTCATCTCTCTCCCTCTCCCTCTCTCTCACACACACACACACAGACCCGCACATGCCCATGAGCATGCTTGTGCATATGCCTTTAAATGAATGCATGTCATGCAAGTATGAATTCACATGTTGATGCTTCTACTCTCTCTCTCTCTCTCACACACACACACACACACACACGCACGCACAGACGCACATGAGCATGAGCATGCTTGCGCATATGCCCTTAAATGATTGCATGTCATGCAATACAAACTCACATCTTGATGCTTCTATTCTTTGCAGGCTCGATCAATTGATCCATATGTTGTAACCTATATGGATGAGTACGCAATGCTTCTAAAGACAAAGTCTGATTTTTCTAAGCTCAATAAATTAGTGCATGATTTGCTGATTGCTGATTCTACAAGGCCAGAAGTATTTGTAGCCTTATCTGTTCTTTGGGAAAGGAAAGATGAGAGAGGATCTTTATCCTATGTTGAGAAGGTCTGTTTGTCAAAATTGAGTAAGTTTGCTGTTTTTTAATTAATTAATTATTTTATATCTCGTAAGTTCCTTATTTTTTGCATCAGAGTATACGAATCGATGAGAGGCACATACCAGGTTATATAATGAAGGTACCGATGTGATCTTTGTATTTAATAAGCTGCAGCATCTATGCTAAAAAATATCACCTTCTCTTTCTGCTTACCCTGTTCTCAATGAGGAAAATATGAAGTGTTCCAAGCTTTCAGGGTAACCTGTTGTTATCAATGAAGCGAGCAGAAGCAGCTGTAGTTGCCTTCAGGGCAGCTCAAGAGTTGAGACCTGATATTCGTTCATATCAAGGTGGGACATGTAAAGGAAAATACTCATGTGCATGACATGCATCTTATGTCCGCATTGACTTATTCATGTTCGATTCAACCATTTTGCAAAAAAGAGAAATATGAAGTAATTGCAGAAGCTTAATGATTGGGTAGCTCAATTATGATTTCAGGATTGGTTCATTCATATTTAGCTCTCTCTAAAATCAAAGAGGCTTTATATGCTTCCAGGGAGGCTATGAAGGCTATGCCTCAATCTGCGAAGGCTCTAAAATTAGTAGGGGATGTACATGCGAGTAACCCCGGTGGTAGGGAGAAGGTAAACCCGTAACAGATTATTTCAGCATGATTTCAGAAGTCAAGTTGACATACTTATGAATTCAACCTAATCTTGAAACAGGCAAAAAAGTTCTATGAGTCAGCCCTTAGGCTGGAACCTGGTTACCTTGGAGCTGCATTAGCTCTAGCTGAGCTCCATGTTAATGAAGGCCGCAATGGGGATGCTGTGTCACTGCTAGAGCGATATCTGAAGGACTGGGCAGATGACTCGCTGCATGTAAAACTTGCTCAAGTATTTGCTGCAACAAATATGCTCCAAGAGTCATTGTCGCATTATCAAGCTGCGTTGAGGTTAAGTGTTATTTTTGGATATCAAGAATCACTTTCTCACTGTTAGGACTTAAAAACGCACATTCTCATTGATTATTTGCTTGGGTGTGTTTGTGTATGGTGTGGAAATTTTAGGGATCCCATTAATAGCAATTTAAGGTAGTCGTCCTGAAATAATTAAGGTCATTTAAGAAATTAAATTCCAACCATTGATGGCATGGGATTATAACACACCTTTGATCTGTTGTGCAATGCTCTATGATCATATGACTATAAGGTGCTTAATTTTTTCTTCTGACATGGATTGCAGGATAAACCAACAGAATGAAGCTGCGAAAAAAGGTTTGGAGCGCTTAGAGAAACAGATGAAGGTCCGTCGTCCTGTTTATACAGCTTAAATGAGTGATTGGGCGTTTGGTTTACATTGTTTAGTATAATGATTTGCTTAACAATGATGAGGCAATTCAGGGAGATGTAGTCTAAAAGTTGTCCTTTCTGTAGGGGGTGGATCCAGATGCACCTGAAGAAGATGATGAAGAAAATGAGGTCGATGATGCTGATGGAGACCAAGAAGAGACCGAGCTTCTTTAAATTATGCTAACCATGAGTATTTGTAAAGCTTCCGTGACGAGACTCTAGTTGCAAAGAATGCCATCGTTGGAAGTAGAGTGGGGGATTTTCCATGCCACAACAGGCCACCAACGGAGTTTTTGTATTGATATGGAAGGCGTAAGGTCTCGCAGAATAGATTGGGAGCAGGAGAGAATATTTACCAGTTGTTGCGTAGTTACGATCTTTGCGACCAAGGCAATCCTCCTAATGGTGGTAACCCTGTAATCTCCAATTCTTCGTTGTGTCATGCAGTGTATTTCATTGGGATCTTTCTCATGTTTCAATACAAGTTGTATAAAGTGTTCGTAATCTCGCCCCGTTGCAATAACTGGATTTAGATGTTCTTTCGAACCTTTGTGCACACAGACGCCCTGGTTCAGTGTCGTCTGTATGGACAAATTTACCTGTAACGGCTTTCTTATCGTTGTTCCGGTGTTATTTTTCGTCTTTGCATAATTGTGTCATCTGTCAAGTTGATTTTGTCAAAGAACAGAAACTAGCTTCAGTAGTCATGAGACATCAGAATCAACGTTTTCTTCACGTGAACGTGGAAGAGCCCACATATGTTACTTATTAAGTTATTGACATACATTTTAAGGTTCAGACCAGAAACGAAAACTACATGTTACGGTGACAGATGGGTTCACTTCTGTACGTGGTAGAACAAGTAGGACTCTCAACAGCGAGCTCCTCAAGGTGTGCAACTGGTCTCATAACCAAGCAAAAGCGTTGTGGTATATGGTTTTGGGTTCGGTGCCATTGGAGGGCAGTTGGGATTTGTTTAACAGCTCCCCGCTCTCCGTTGGCAAAGATGTTTAAGTCCATTCTTTGTTTTCTTCAAACTAGAAAGGTTTCCGAGGTGTCGGTGCTCGGTTCTCCATAGATTGCAATCTCTGTTTCAGGTGGAAAACTTCAACCTGCATAGCGACATGAAGAGGATGTCGATGGTGGCTAACAAAATAAAGAACTAAACCTTTGATGCATAGATTTTTGTAAAGTTTAGAGGCAAGATTATTCAAAGAACAGCTATGATAAAAGATGTTATAAGAGTTTCTGTAACGCACTAGTCTCCGAAAAATGCATACCTGTAGTTGGAATGCCCTTGCTCGTTCTCCTGCAAGGACTCCTCTAGTTGAATGGAGCTCCTGTTGATCACCCGATTTGGCTTTCAGGCATAAATCACTTAACCTAACAACAGATAACTTGGTTTCTAAACAAGAACATTAAAGTACGAAGTTTCACAGTACCTTCTGGGTATCATCCAAAACCGCCTTGAGGAAAGCCACATCATGCTCAAGCCTGACATTGTCAGAATGAACAATATTTGAGAGGTTGTTAGCCTCTTCTTGCGCTATCTCTACACCCGCAACCTTTTCCTTCAGAAATTCCATCTCCTTCGCACTGTCTGACAATTTTCTCTCCATCTCCTGTCTGCTCTTGAGGGCCGAGGATAAATTTTTCTCAGCAGCTTCCTGGCTGGCCATCACAGTAGCTAACTTTCCTTCTAAAATTCCATTCTTTCTTATTAGTGCGGCCATCTTTGATTCATAGTAGTGGTACATACTTGAAGCAGTTGATAGGGCTCCTAGTTTACTATCATTTTCTGGGAACACGGCATCGTTGTTATCCATTGAAAGGTTTCCAGTTCCATGATGGTGAGGATTTGAATTTTCAAAATCATATCCAGATAGTATCTCCTCCGAAAAGAGTCTGCCTCCATATATGTTAGTCTGGACTCCTGAATCAGATTGACTGGTTTTCTTTTCTATTGGCTGAAATTAATGTAACAGTAAGTCATTAGATCATAAAAAATAGTGTATGTTTAACAAAGAATGACTGCGCATAGGGAAATAGATTTTTCTTGCTCTTGTTTGTACAACTGAACTCAAAAAGTTTTTTTATTTTTTTTCCTAAATCATGCAAGTTCCATTCGAGAATTCAAAGCGAGATAAAGATGATAACATAAGTCAGGTAGTGATCATTAATTAAGAAAAGCTTCTGCAGCTTACCTGCGAGAAAGAACTTTCATCTTCCGTACTTTTTGCCACCTTAACAGTCGTGTTGAATTCTTCTTCATTGTGGAATTGTTTCCTGAGTGAAACGTTGCCAGAAACAGGATTTGGATCAACAAGCAAGGACTCCGACAAAGATTTTCTTCCAGAACCATGTTGTTCAATTGCAGATGCAAGATTTTGTCTGGTAACAGAATTAACTGAGCGTTGGGAAGAACCATTACTTAGTTGAGAAGCCAAGCCTGTGGATGATGCGCGTTTCTCAGGCAGCAAAGTTCCAGGGCCTTTGCTGGGAAAAGATCGACGACTTATGGATGATTCATTCTTTTCCATGGTCAGTACTTCAACCTGTAACAAAAAAAGTTTAGGTAATGAGCTAAAGTTTTATGAGAAATCAACTAAAGTCTAAAAACAGAAAGACAAGTTTCCAATAACCTGATTCGTTGGTTCCTTTCTGCATCCCCCAAAAGAAACAAGAAAATCCTTTTCTTTGTGTTGCACGAGCCCGAGGCTGAAACCCTGAGAATATAACATAAGAACAGTGCTTAAAGTACCAGCCAAAAAATTATTTCCATGCTACATTATTTTAGAGGAAAAGAAGAAATCAACACCAATGAAAATTATGCTACAGGTAAAAATCACTGCTGCACACCTTATTCGCGGTGATTGAAGAAGGAGGCGATGTAATGGCCACTGACCACTCAAGTTTAAAGATATCAAAGATCAGAGTTTCAGCATGTCCTGGAACGATTAGGATAAGTCAATATAAGATGTTGCATCCTTTTTCAATGTTTCAATCGCTGAGTTAAAGGAACAATGAAACTCATGCATATAATATGTCAGTACATAAACAGCAAGAAAACTTCAAGCATGTCATTCAATTATGAGGCATACGTTTTTTCCTGCTTCCACCCCCAACGATATACCATTTGTTTCCACATAGGACCCCACAGCAACCAGCTCTAGGAGATGGATGGAAACCTCGTTTCTTTATTCTTGACCATTCCATCTGAGAGAAAAGCCGATCAGCATGTCATAGGTAAACTTTACACTCTCATCCATGAAGAGATGAAATATTGGCTACATAATCAGGCAGTTTATAAGATACAAGCATGGGAGAGAATTCACTCACAGTTTCAAAGTCCATTGAATACAAATCATTCAAAGTCTTGGATTTTGATGTGCCTCCAAATATAAGAAGAGTTTTATCATCATAAAGAGCTGCTACGTGGTTGGACCTTGCAGATGGTCCTGTACCGCTGCACATATATCAATATATATCAAAGTTGAGACAAAACCAGTGTCTACCAAAATAAGAAAGGAGAAGGGTTCAGTAGCAACCATGTGCAACGTAATATTTGTTACAGATAGTTCGATCAAAGAACAATATCATTGAATTTCACACACTTAAGAAAAACCCACTCACGTGCAATGAAGGGGTAACCATGTCAACGACTTCAGATCAAACATATGCAAATCGTTCAATTTCCTCCTTTTAGCATCTTCACCTCCAAATAGGATAATCATAGAGCTTGCCCTGACTACAGTGTGACCAGTGCGAGCAACCTGCCATGCGTGAGATATGTGGGTGGGTTAAATTATCACTCCATTTAACTATCATTAGTTGAGTAATTCACAATTCCTCTAGCAAGACAATAACTTAGAGATACGGTACTAAAGGGTATATAATTTTAACAATGCAGTAATTAGTTACACCTACTAGTTCAATATAATTTTAAATATGTAGTATTTAAAATTATGCTGAAGATTAAAAACGATGAAAAAGGCTCAAGCAGTCATGTTACAACTTTTCAAGTGTAAGGCCTAAGAAAAAATTATACTAAAGCTGAAGAAATGTTTGTGCATTGAAGAAAGAGAATGTACCGGTATATTGCCCTTTGATTCCAAATGAGACCAGCATTCTGTCTCTGTATCAAATGCCCAAACTGCACAAATGAATGAAACATTGGACAATTTCATACAAGCACAAGCAAAAAAGTGATGTTTTCATGAAGCTTCAAAGACAAACTTTAACCTGAAATTTTGTCGCTCCCCGGTTCAGTTTTTCCTCCAATGAGGAGTGCCTTTTTCCCCCAAGACACCTAGACAACAGAAATGACGGAGAAAAATTCAAAATATCAAGCAAGACATTATTGTTGATTCCAATTTATGATATGCTAACCTTCTTATAGTCCACATCTACAGAAACAATCAACCTTCCCATCGTATTTTTTTCTCAATGTTGCTTGGAAACTAGGTCCTAGGAAATGCTTTTTGATATCCAATGTGTTTCGCGAGTATATTCAAATTTTTGTATTGCATAGGAAGGAACTATACACTGGTTCATGATAACAAAGGAAATGCAAACAAACAAGACAACAAGGTTTGGTACGTATATACGATTGTACCAGTTTGTGGCCCTTGCATGCAGGGATCCTTAATGGCAGACTGCTCGGTGACAAGTAAAGCTTTGACGAAGCTGTGGTCCACGTAAAACTATCAAACTTAAGCACCTGACATTTGCAAACACCACTATCAAATTAATTATCAAACAAATCCCAAAGATTCCTACTCCAAACTTCAACCAAATTTCCTGCTCATACCCCTTGAAATGTAAATTTACGCAATAAACACACATTATCCTACCTGTACATCATCTAGCAATTCATTCCCAGATTCACCACCAACAACTATCATCTTGTTCCCAATTACAGCAGCCGCATGCTGTTCAGGAAAATTAAAAAAATATATAAATCTTTTGCTTTCGGCAACACCATCAACAAGCACGAACCAAATCAATGTACCATATGAAACAATCACAAGAAAAAGTATTAATAACACTGTACATTGAAGCGGGGCGAAGGCTTGTCCCCAGAAATCGACAACACCATCCAATTCTCAGAGCTCCCAGTCGCGGAATTACTAATCTCGGGCACAGCAGATAGACACTGGCCATCGAGCTCATCAGAATTACTACTTGCCGGCGCATCACATTCATTCTGAAAAATGTAAACAACCTTTATTGTACTAAGGATTCATTACACCGAAAACAACCTACACGCAATACAAAGCTAAAAAAAAGCCTTACATTGGAGCTGTTATTTCGTTTCGGGTGTCTTATGGGGCTTCTGGTTCCCTGAGCAGAATCCGAACGCTGGACTTTCAACCTGAACACAGTAAATACCAAATTTATATCAAAACCTGAATCTTTAAACATAATTAACACCACAATTTCAAATGTCAAAAACTACACATTATTTACCGACTGCCTCAATGATTAAAAGATCAAAACTAAAAATTAAAAATTAAAAATTTCAAATTTTTACAAAAAAGGGGAAATCAAAAAGAAGAAAAAAGTTAGTTCAAAGTAGAAATAAAGCAAAAGGAGAATAAGAACAAAAGCTCTCACCGTCCCAAGCTTCATGC